GACTGTACTGATAACGGTAAAGTACAACAATGTGCACTCTATATCCCCCCCTAGGCAAAACTGTGCGCACTTGGCTCAGCCAGACAGTTGCGTCTTCTTGTGAGGAACCACGGGTTGGTTGTCATTTGAAAACCGATGTCAACCAGGGCTGTCAATGAGTTGAAAAAGAGAAAGCAAAGAAGAAATAGGGGGTAGCCAGATTATCGTGGACGCCATGTTTTTGTTTTGGTCAGCTCACGTGCAAGGCTGTGAATTATTCAGTTAAAATGTCCTAGGCGTCCCACGTACTTGCTCAAACTCTCACGCAAATTCTGAATGTGGAATCGATTGATTCACTTTTCTCAGTTCGACAGTTCCTTAGCTAAATTCAGTTCTCATTTCATTATAATTTTGTCATATTGAAAGACGAGCTGATTTCTTTTTGAAATCAGTTGAAATAATGTTTTATTTCATGTTGAATTGCAGGCCAGGAGGCCAGCTGTGCCTGCCGTCCGGGTTTCACTGGAGACGGCTTTTCTTGTGGAGGAACCATTCTACAGGTAAGTAGATTTTTTTGTCTTTTTAACCCTTTCCACCCCTCCCCCCTCCTCCTTCAGCCCTTGTCTTTTGTGCCTTGCCTGATGGTCTCTATAATAAATTCCAATATCCGTGGATCTGTGCGCCTTGAACGTTGCCCATTTTGGACAGGATTTTGTTACCATGATGTCGACTTCTTATGGCAAGTTTTGTACCCTTACAGCCAAGTTAAGATTTTCCTTAAGTTGAGTTTTTGTCTTTTCTTTTCAGGTCGTCAAAGAAACTCAGAGTGCCACTGAATTCTACAAGGTATCACGTTTTTCCAAGGGCAATATAATCTTTCGTATCATTCTTTACTCTGAATGGCCTGTTATAAGGAGGAGTTAGTTAACGTTAAAATCTTACGACCATACATGGGTTCACCATTTTGTTATTTAGGCTTTCCTCTGGTCTATTATCCACCCCTCGGAAGAAATTTCTTTCTTTTCGAAACCAAAAATCCAGGATGGCCAAACTGAGTGCTCGCTCGTCAAAGATACGTCCCCAATCTAGCCAGAAATGGAGTGGTTGTGTATGGTTTTAATGAGATATTGTATTAGTTATGAACTTTCATTTGTTCAGAACAGATGAAGTAGTTAGCTCTATGATATATCAATGGTTTGCTTTTTGTTTTGCTGGCAATTCCAGGTGCTCTACCAACTGATTACTTCCAGCGCACAAGCGACGACTTTATACCAAGACCTGGCATCGTTATCAAAATCCTTCACAGTGTTTGTGCCTGTCAATAGTGCGGTTCACTACAAGGTGACGGTCATCTCAATGTTTCTTTAGATAGTTTTCCTTAAATTCATCATAGTTACTGTATCTCATAATTACTCTGAGAAGTTTCAGGAGAAAATGGAAGAAAATTTTCTCTAATTTTTTTTTCTTATTGTCACAGAAATTCACGCTGTATTTTATGAAGAATCACATTGTGTCAGGAAGGCATCCATTGAACAACATAAATGACGACTTAACGATGACAACGTTGGCTGGGACTACTCTGCACATCAAAAAGCTGAGAAATGTAAGATTTACAAACTAGACGAGTGTTCCTAACTTCTACAGATTATCTTGTTTGGCGAGTATTAGCGCGGTTATAGTAGCCTGCTGTATACGCCAATGATAATTATGAAAGGTAGTGTGGTAAGGTTTAACCAAATCGACCGTAGCTCTTCTTTTCATTGCTCTATACTCCATGGTGCATTCGCATGCGCATTATTTCCACGCGCAACTGGCCCGCAGAGGTTGAGAAATGCCGGGCTTTTCTTAGTTGCCAAAGATCGTAAGAGAGTTTTGCGTTTTGTGATCCAAAGTGTAATTTTCTCTGTAATGTAAAAATAGAGCATTTCCCGGTGCTAACAAAGAAGTTATCCTCGGAAATGAGGATGAAAAAAATGCTCTCATAATTCAAGTTACGAAACATTAGGGCATGCTTTCTAATTTAGAGTTGCGTCTAACTTCATAATTTTACTAACACTTTCTAATGAGGGCGATATAAATTGTGTTGTTTCTGGAGAATACTTCCCCTTTTAGTCCAGGCTGAGTGACACTCTGGACCACGACTTGGGACCACAACTGCATTCATGAGTCGTTGCTAATAATTCAGATGCTCTCATCGATTGATGCCTATTAGAGGGTTTTGTGTTATAATAGCCCTTGTTTTTTTATTGATACTTAGGGAGAAATAGTCGTGAATGGTGTCGCTCATATCAAGGGAGACATCCCTGCAACCAATGGTCTCCTACATTTCATCGATCAGATGATACCAGTAAGTAAATAAATGACTTATTGACTCTGATATTAACAAATGTCACCAACATATGTAAGTGAGGGAAAGTGCAAAAATGAATTCATTTACGATTGTTGCATGATTTTTAAATTGTATTAAATTGTATTCAATACAATTTCGATCGAAAAATGGCAAAAAGTTGAGGACTCTAGAATTTAATTACTGTCTAGAAATAGGCTTTTGAGGATAACAATTTGATAGTTAATATATAATGACAGTTATCAGGGCCACACCTTTAGCAAATCCCCCGCATTTGATATTTAAACATAATTTTTTCATAGTATGTTGGACCTCCTCCACCTACTACCCCAGTGGAACCAACAAAACGAACAGAAACCCCAGGAAAACCAACCACGGTATGTTTCAGTCACGTTTTTTACTCATGTCGAAGGTAAAAGATCCACTTTCTAGAGTCGAACTCGCATCTAACTGAATTAACGTGCCTCGTGTTTTTAACGTTTTCATTGTATTTACAGAAAATAACAACGAAAGAAACTACAGCTTCAGCAGTTGGACCAAAGGTAATGATGTTTTTGATAAGGGGGGAGAGGATTGGGGCGATTAAAGTTGGTCACTTACAGGCTCAAGCACACCTCGCGATATGGAAGGGATATCTGATCTCTATCCATCAATTCTTTCCTTTAAGAAATTCCATAATTTTTCACTTTAAAATTGTTGCAATTTTTCTACACCCCCCATTTTGTTTCAACGTTTATTCTGTCGAGGATCATGGGTCAATGGAGATATTTTTTACTCAAGTGAAATTTGTAGAGGCCTAAACTTCAGACATGCATCATGAAGAAATAATTTGATTTTACACGCTCATAGTGTCAGCTTTCCTTTCACAAATACGCTTTCGTTACTTTTTCCATACATTTCCCATTTCAATGTGTCGGACCACATTTTGTCCTTATTCTTCGTCAAATAGCTCCTTTTATTCTTTTGAACTTCACAAATGCCATTCTTGAAAGTACACAAGGTAACCGAGTGTTATGTAGAATTCATCAGTTTTCAAGACTGAATGCTGACAATTTTACCGGTGTTTGCCGTTCCTTTTTTCAGTCGGGAGGTGAAAGTGCTGCAAGAAAGGAGGTACTGCTTTTTTTTTTGTTAATGTTGCTTTTGTTTGTTTGTTTGTTTTGTTTGTGTTTTTTAAATTTCATGAAGTTTCTAGTCTAGGCTTGTGAAATCTTATGTTTTTTTTCTTTCTTTCTTTGTTCTTTTTTGTTTTGGAAGAGAGATGGTATTGGTAGAGGAGCTATTGCTGGTATTATCATTGGCATCATAATATTTGTGATGTTGATCGCTGTTTTAGTTTACTTTGCAAGAAAGAATGGCTTCCTTTCCCGCCGAGCATTTTACAAAAAGGTAATTGAACTTTGTTAGGGAGAAATTAACGAAACTTAGAGCCCAAAATCAAATTCTTCTTGGCTTCTTCTTTAGTTTTGATAGTAATCTGGGATCGTAATTTCTTTTTCCTTCGCTCTGCACTGAAATTGGAAGAAAACACTCTCTTTTCCCATGAGAGATCAAGACAGAATTTCTCCTTACAATATCAACTCAATAGCAAGGAGACAAGTGATGAGAATAAAGAAAAACATCAATCAGGGAATCATTAGTTGATCTGATACCAAATTCTCCAAACTAACATAATAAGAATTGTACAGCAGACAGTAAGGAGAATTACTAATAAGATCTTGTTAGTGAAAGGGTTAACCAATCAAATTCAAAATTGAAACCATGGGGGACTAAATTATCTGACCTTTTCATCCTTCAGGCTTCTTTCATCTTTGTGATGTTCGTTCTTTGTTATGACAAATACTTTACCATGCAAAACTAGAATTGCTGTTAATGTGAATACTCTTAGAAGTATAATAAAAAAAAATTAAACCTTACACCGTTTATTTATCGCTAAACACCATAATAGGAATTTGTTACTGTGCCCTGCACATGATTGTTTATAGTCTTTTGTACTTATGTAATTTTCATTATTTTCAGTATTTTGTAATTGCACGTGCGCACTGTAAACGAGCATGCTGAATGCTCCTAGGCGTTATGTAGATAAATAAACTATTTATCTATTTATCTATTTATCTAAGTCCAAAACGCCTTTTTAGTCCACGTATCTCGTCTTCGTGAAATAGTTTCTTGTGTTTTCTGTTTCTTAGCAAGCGGACACCGTTCAGTTTAGTAACGAAGCTTACAACGAACATTCTATGATGTCATTTGATAATGCTCTGTTTCATAACATGGAGGATCCCTTGCAAATGCCTCCACTGGATATACCTATTGACGATAAACGGCCTTTACCACAGGTATGATTAGTGGGTACTGTCACTGCTATGAGCTGAAGACAAATTTGATGCCAAGCTGTAGTTCATCGCATATTTGACGGAATGAATTTTCTGGGTGTGCTGTCAGTTTGATATTTATTGCGTCATTCTTAGTAGTGATACCCGGCGGTATAGCGGAAAACCAAAAAAAAGAGCGTGGTCACGTGGGAGGGGTGTGGTCACGTGACTACACCTTCCCACGTGACCACGCTCGTTTTTTCGGTTTTCCGCTACACCGCCGGATATTGCTACTTTTCTTTCTTGATTATAGGTTTATCTACTTTTTCTTATTCATGCACTTATCTCTTCATTTATTTATTTATTCCTTCATGTCATAAGCATTTTCGAAAGAAAAGAAATGGTAAGAATTTTTGAGCAACATTGCAGTGTAAGAACTGTATGGATTGCTAGTTTGATTTCTGTTATGAGTATCTTTTGTAAATAATATCTTTCGCTTGTAAAGACTCGTTTGATTCACGTTAATAACATTTGTTTGCAGGATTCAGGAGAACACATGGATTTTGACAATCCACTCTATCGTGAAATGTCTGGCTTAGACCTGCCACAAAATCCAAATGACATAATTTTCTTGCCAGACTCTAATACGGTACGTTTCCTGATTAAACTAGAAAAATTCAGGGGATACTATAACAACTACCAAATGTTGCTGCAGTAGTTTGTGTTTCCTGGCCAGGGTTATTAGCGGCAATCTGTTGTACCCTGTGCACCAGATCTCCGTTTCCTTGTATCTAAGCAGCTCCCCTTTGTACAACCAGTCAAGTAAAAAAAGTTTTACTTTCCTTTGCTTGTCGATGTTCTGCTGTTTGAAAAACAAATTACGTAAGATTTTTGGAAAAATTTCAGTGATCTCCAACCTGAAAAAATTGGCTCCCAAAAAATACAAAAATAACCGATCCACAAGAAATGAAAATTCCCGCGAGGGTTTAAATGGTGAACGCCATAAATTTGGAGGTAGACTTAGTTCTTTTATTCATTTCTTTATCTGTTTTTCTTTTCTTCTTCGTTATTTTTGCAGGCTTCATCTGATACGGGTGTCAAAAATTTTTCCAACCCACTCTACGATGGGAAAAGGACTGTAAAGGTAAACGTATGAAATAACCGCTAACTTTGAGACCCAAGAACTTTTATAACTTACGGCGCCAACCACTGGTCAGGAATGGCCCGTCAGACTGGTTCATTTCATATCAAGTTTTGTAATGGTATCAAGCATAAATTTTCCTTAATATTTAGTGGAAAATCTCAAGAAAAAAGAAAAGTCATCTTAAAATTTGCCGGTTTGTTCGTTTCAGTCCCAGCTTCTGATTCTTCTCCTTCACACCCGTATTAGGATGTCACGCAACGAGCCTTCTCGTTTGTTGTGTGACAACCTTGCAACTGCTGCCAAGGTGACTATCATGCAGCACACTTGATTACACACAGGCAGAAGATATCCCATAGTTTTCGCAGAAAAACAACTAAATAATGTGTTTTTGATGCTATTTGTATTGCCATCCGGTTGCCGTGTTTACCATCCCACAAGGGGTGAGTGGGGGGGGGGGGGGGGGGTGGGAGTTCACTCCTTTTCTTTCGCTATTTATGACAAAGGTCCTAAAAGGTCAAGGTCCTCCGTTTGTTTTGTCGGGGACACTTCCTTACCCACCCTTACCCGGGTACGCTCCCAACCCACCCACCCCTCTTACCTCAAGATCTGGATCCACAACTAAATCAACTTTTTTGTTGTTATTTCAGTTTAACCTAGACCCCAAGTATCTTCCAGGTGAAGAAGACACCTGTAAGTAACTATTAAGAGTCAGATACGGGTACACTCTGTTATCTCCAACATGTGTTAGTATCATGGAGGGTTTTTATTAGGAGAGATTCGTCATATCTTAACCCTTTACACCCTAACATCAGTTTGTATATTCTCCAAACTGTTCTTTATACATTTCCTAAGGTGCTGACATTTGTTTGGCAATCAAGAGCTTCTTTAGTTGTGGATCATTTCCTTTATTCTCATGACCTTAATGTGTGATTCAGGGGTGATGCTGTAGAGAGAGATTAGAGTCCAGTCTCTCTTAGAGGTTAAAGGGTTAAACTCAAAAGATACAAACTCACACTTGAATAAGAGAGAGGAAAAAAAAAAGAAATGGTATAGTACTGTTAGGCAGGTCTTGTTCGAGCACAGGATTACATAAGCAAATTAAAACGGTTTAGTAGAAAAATAAAGAGAAGTCATTAACTTACAACAGTCATTTGTGGGAATAGGACTTCTGAAAAAATGTTATTTGTGATTTGGTTCTTAGCGCAAAATGGCGCAATTAAAAAAACTGTGATTCAATTTTTCGATGCCTAACTTGTTGCTTCGTTGCATTTTAGGCTAAGTGAGCTGTTTGGTTACACGAAGATAACAGTGGTGAGTTCTTGTTTTTTCTTTAAAAGTTTTAAAAAAGCAAATGTTAGTAGGTCGCTAAATTTACCAATCACAGAGCGCGTATCAAAAAGTAGATATAATTCCTTATTCTTATTATTTTACTTTCCAGGTTTTTCCGCTTTCGCTGGTTACATTTCAAGGGACATCAGGAAGGATAGATATATTTTTTATGCCATAAATATCGCTACGTTAGTTTAGTGTTTTTATGTTGTTTTGTTTGTTCCTTTTTTTACTAACACTTAAACGTCGTGTAGATCTTTTTGTTTTTCTTGAGTGTGTGTGTGTTTTCTCCCCGTCAGTCATGCAAACCCTGGACTACTTTTCTGCACACTGCCTCAAATGGCGGCAACCCCCACATGTTTTGATAAGGGTGTGTAAACACGGAAAAAGTCCTCTTTTGCATAATTGTGCTATTTCCCCAATCACTCAATTAGCTCTATATTTCTTTCTTGCTTATTAACTACTTTATTTTTTCGGGCTGAAATAACGCGTGGCTTGTTAACACTCTGCAAGGATTATCAAATTTTAAAGATGCTAGTCTCGGTTCTTTACAAATTTTAATTTTTTTTTTTTAATGTTGACGAAAGAGCCTAAGTGACGACTTTTATTTTTTTGCGAGGATACTGTCGCGCTAAATTAAAAAAAAAAACGAAACAAAACAAAGCAAAAGCAATTAATGCAGAAACCGAGCCTTACAAGGTTAAATACAACCTGGGGAAGTATACTAGATCCAATATTACAAAATTGTAGGGTCGCAACGCTCTAGGAAGCCAATAATAGCTACCTATCAAAATTAAGGAGGCTGGTTGCCTAGGGAATAGGAAGGGAATCTTAGGGGCTTTCTAGAGGGGTTCAAAATTGGTGTCTTGTAAGAAAAAAAAGTGTATTGCATATACAGCACGAAAGAATTAAGCTGATAGACCGAATCTCCGTATACTTTCAATCTTGTATCAAAAGTCATCCGGGATTTTGATTTATTTGCTTTCTGACCTCTGCGTCAGCCTATTTGGCGATCCGGGATTGGTTATTGGGAGATTCCCCTGGGTAAAAAATAACTCCAATGGATTCCTTTCGGAGTGACCGTTATTCTCTTAGCTGGATTCCATTATGCTGTCCAACGTCTGTTTTTGAAATATTTTGTAAAGCAATGTCAGGTATGCCTGTGCCTGGACTTGGGAAATTTTTGTACACTGAGTTAAATTTGTCACTTTGGGGTTGTGATTTTTAAAGTACTCGCTGTTAAAAATTTTTTAAACATTTTACTTGACATGAATTAGTGGTATTAATAGTATTTTAATGGTAATGGTATTAATTATAAAAATTAATATTTTTTTAACGAATTTTACTCCGAAGTTGATTGAATTTAGTATGTTTCTATTGAAAAAAAAATGCGTTGATTACTGATTTCATCGAGGTTAAAATGTATGACTTATACAGAAAAATGTTTAAAACGAGTAGAAAAAGGGCAAAAAAGAGTTTGTTAAGTTCACAGAGCCGATACGACTCAACAGAGGTTTGACCCTAGAGGGTTGGTAATTTGTGGCAAAGATGTAGTAATTCTGTTTACTGTTTGGTTTACAATTCTTATGATGTTAGTTTAGATAATTTGGATTTGGATCAACTAATAATCCCTTAATTGATATTTTTCTTTATTCTCATCACTTGTCTCCTTGATGTAGAAATTCTGTCTTGATTACTCCTGGAAGTTAAGGACTATAGGGCCAAAACTAGAATGTCAGTTGCGTTAGAGAGAAATGTGTCAGAATCGCTTTGAGACTGTCTTTATAGAGGTATAGTTTAGCAATAAAATTCATATTATTCATAGCTTTATGAAAGCTACAAGCATTTAAGCTTCAAATCTGTAAAATAAGTGGGTAGATAATGAGTATAGCTTACTCTTAGTTAAAAAATATTAAGTCAAATCCAAGGTAGATGTTAAATTTATGTTTTTATTTAATTGCTTCGTAAACTCAATCGTAGAAACAAGAAATAAAATTACGTTCGCATTGGTACTCTTCAGTATTTAAATAAATGACGTGTTTGTCAGCATTTTGTTTTGCGAAGAAGAAAAGCACAAACGCACCCACAAGAACGCAGCACGTGATAGCAGGAAAGCGCGGAAGGATATGACGGTCTAAGACAAATCACTTTTTTTTGTCTCAAAACAACACTGAAAGGAAAAGCAGATAAACTACTAGCACCACTGCTTTTTAGCATAACTCATAGCGTGACTCAAAAGAAATCCGCAGAAAAAAAAAACCCAAAAAAAACAGGAAAAAACTGACACGAACAAAACAAGTCAGCAAGGAAAAGATACCCCAACAACAAGGCATGAACTCTAGGAAGCAACCTCCTTTTGTTCCACCCCGCCGCTCCCCAGAATCCACATGATGCCAGGATGTTATTTTTTTGGTTGTTTCCATTGATTCGAGCGACAGATTACCTTGACAAAGATGGAGCACACGTAGTCTCAACACAAGACAGATTGCTAGCAGGCCATCATTATGCGCGCTGCAAGACACACTTCTACGCCCCCGGATAGATTCGAGACGAGTCGGGGAGGGGATTAGCGAGGGTCTGGCACTAATAATCAGTGCCAGATCCCTTGCAGACCTCTCGCGGCTCGAGGCCTTATAACTTACCGTGGTCGGGCGAAAAAAATTTTTTTTTTTTTTAAATTTAATGAGTTGAAAACAGCCTGAGGTTATGTTCTCCACGTGCACCTCTCTTGAGAGGACGGCGTTCTTTGTTTAAATTCTATCTTTGTCGCTTCGAGGAAACACAATTTATGAAGGAGAAAGACTTAAGTGAGTCTTCTTAGTCTCTACTCGGTGGTAGGGGCGAGAATTAGTTACAGTTTTTCATTTAGCGCACTTGAAAAAGTCGTTCTTTAAGGCTGAGTTTGTACAATTCTCAGAAAATTACAGTTTCACTGGGCTCGAACTTCAAAAATAATATTTTTCTCGCAATCTTTTTCCAGAATATTTGAAATTCCAGTGTTATTACATTTCCGCTTGTAATGGGAGAAATTTGCGCGGGTAGCTAGACTCGAGGGAAGTCACGCTTTCACAAGCCATATTAGGTAAGCTATTGTCGTGAGGTTCCGCCGGTCGTCCTGTTCTGTGATTGGTTATTCACTGTAAGCCGTGCCTGTATACAAACGAGAGCAGAAGATAACACTGAGAGAAAAATTCAAGTTAGAAATATATAGATTTCTCTATACTGGAGCTTCTTTTTCATGCAGTATGGAGGAGAAGGTGGAGAAGAAAAGTCCAGTCAAGTAAGGAAGCTTTTGGCGTTGTTTTAGAGTCGAAGTTTGATACGATTATAGCGCGTGCTCCAAATCGAATTTGTGTCTCTTGAATCCTGTTGTTTTTGTTGGAAAACGAGCACTGCGAGAATATTGCGTGATTGTTAATCATATAAAGGTATCAAGAGTGAAAGAAAATGAAATGCTGGAGTCTAAGATGTTAGTAGATGGAAATATCTGCCCCTTCTATGCAGAAAAGCGACGATAAGTTTCAGAAAATAAAGGCAATCGACCAATCGAATCACTCGTGTGCAAGCTTAGAGCAGTTGAAATTTCTCGAGTGTTTGGACTGTTTTGTCTCACCACAGGATTCGTAAAGTGTTAAGGCCGAGCACAGATGAGAATTACTGGGACTGTAGTGTGTGTACGTACAGAAATGGAGCCGAAGCCTTTAAATGTGCGATGTGCGATGTTAGAAAGGGAACTTCAACAAGGTAACGCGTGGCACTAGAGTATTTGTTTGTTCTCTATAATTACTGTCTGCAGGACAGAAAATTACGGTCGCAATGTGTTTCCCATGCTTCACGCATCTGGAGTATGTTTTTGTTTTGTTTTGAATAGAAATGACAAAATAACATCAGGTAGAATCATTTTGAAGGGTGAAAGTAAAAAAAATTGCAATTCGATATGGTTTTTGTGACAGATGATACAAAATCAAACGCCATGTGCATGAAGATCGAATACGATCTACCATAAGTCAACTTATAAAAGATTCGAAACAGATGCTTGTGGTCGAGTCTTAGCATTTTTGCGGTCAAACTTTCGCCTTTTGTAAATATTGCGCTTTCAATAACAAACGCGTGACCCATTCCATGATTACAAGGGACCTTTTGTTAATTTATGATGGCCTTTAAAGGTTACTTTTGTAGTGTACCAATTCTCCCCACCCGACCCTCCTCGGAATGTACATGTTATAACACTGTCTGGAATATCCAGACTGTTTTGCCTTAATGATGCTCAGAAACCTTAACTGTATGGATTTGTATTCAGTTTTGTTTGTTATTTTTAGGATGAATTGAAGAAGGGAGAAAAGCAGGATGTTTTCCTGTTTATTTTTTCCCCCTTTTAGAAATTCAGCATGACTGAAATTTCTGCTGGGAATTAATTTCTTCAGTTTCCTGTCTAAGGGACAGAATTTAAATTAGATAGGAAGTGATTAGTTTCATATTTATTTCTCAGAGAGTTGTAAAGATGCGAGCTAAGTGCTAGATGATTCCTTGATGAACAATTGGAATGATTTTGAATACATGCAACATGTGACTCACAGAGTTTTTGATTTGACTGAAGGGAGAACATTGTTTTGCCTTTGTATTTATGTGGATCAAAGACAATTCAAATAATTATGATTAGTTAAATTAAATTACAAAATTTTCATGTTAGGTGATAATTGGATTTTAGAAGTTTATTTTTAACTCTTTAACTCCCAGGATCTCATTAGTAATTTTCCTTTCCATCTGCCATAGAATTCTTATGTTAGTTCAGAGAATTTGCTATCGGATCAACTAAAAACCCCCTAACTGATATTTTTCTTTATTCTCATTACTTGCCTGCTTGATATTGTATTGATATTGTAAGGAGAAATTCTGTCTTTTATTTATTTATTAGCTTTGCTAACAATACATACAATGGTAAATTAAACTAACAATAACGGGCAGGCAACCACAACAGCGATAGCCAATTACTGTGGTCCCAGGAGTATTAAAATAGCACAATTATGTCAATAATTAATAATTAAGAACAGCATGGAGTTGGTGTTGTTTTCAAGCTACGACATGAATTATATTTTGTACAGATAGTTTTATAAGTCCAGGGATTGTCAATGTCATAGATCTCTTGATCACTCATGGTCACTCATGGGAGTTTAGGGGTTAATCCTTCTGTTAATTGTGGGAGTTCAGGGGTTAATCATTCTGTGTTACTAATATTTATTTTTGTTGCATTACCAGGAAACCAAAACTTAATTCTCAGTTAGTAGCTCAGCAAGTTGCTCAACAGTTTGTTACATCACCTCCTCCCTTAAAAAAGGCTGTGGCTAAAAGACCATTTAAAAAATTAAGGTAAGCAGCACAAACTTTAATAGAGTATATTGTTTGTGCAAAATTAGAGCTTTTTATGTACTTTTGGCTTGCACAGAAATAAAATGGCTGCCCACATTGGTGAAGGTCAATTTTTTTTCTGTAGCACACACCTTGGATGAGAGTTGGAGAATCCTCCAAGCTCTGGTCTCCTGACTTAATCCCAAGTTCTCTCCCTAGTAGCAGGGAATTGTTTTGATTTTTCTAACAGTTTTCTGTTTACAACTTACTCACATAATTTTAAGAAAAGTCAAGGTAGCCAGCTTTTTAGCCACCAGTTGGCACTAAATGAGAACCATTAGCCTATGAGATTGCCTTGCTATTCCCATTTTGTACCCTTTTCCACTTGTTACAACCCCCTTATTGTAGAGAAATTCAAGATACCAGCAAAAATGTGGAAGGAAATTATTCAACACCCACCCACCCAAATGTTCTACCACATGGGAATGTGAAATGATTCATAGTTATCCAAAACTTTTTAATTTTATAGGCCTCGACTCAAAAACATTGACAGAAGCAGTGCACAGCACATGGCCGTCACCGTAGGAAACATCACTGTGATTATAACAGATTATAAACTTTTAAAACCTGAAAATTCACCCTCTGTCACACCAGACAGGAATTCACCCAGACCACTGTCAGAAGATGGCACAGACCCAGGGCCATCTCTTGGTTCTGAATTTACAAGTAATGGATTAAATAATCAGGATGACAGCTCCTGACAAAAGAATGATTTTTATATTGGTACAGTAATTATTAGGAACAATTTGTATTTTTTGTGTCATTAGAGGGGATCCAGAATCTTTTTCTGTCTTTTATGATTTCTGCTAAACAAAATCCCCTTCAAAAGCTGTTGATAAGACAGTCAGTACTCTTTATACAGACACCTCTGTCAGAGGTGCTTTCACCTCAAGAAAGAACAGTAAAGATGGTGCTGCCATTTCAATGTTCAATTTGTCAAAACAGTTTGGAATTGAGACACAAAGTGGTCTCTCGGGTGCCTGTTTTACAGAGAATCGACTTAACATCTCTTTCTAACAAGTCTCAAAGAACACTGCATATGTGCATCAGTGTATTCTCTAAAAAAAACTTGCTTTGTGCCTAGCAGGAGAGCAAGCCTGTTTTCAAAATGTAATCACCCAAATCAGGGTAATAGTTAATTAACTCAGTTTTTATGTGCTTTTGATTAGCAATGAAAGGTTTAAATTACACCGTGCTTTCTTTCTTTCATGTAGTATGTTTTGTTTGTTGTCATCAGTAAAAACTATTGAAAAGGTGGGTATGACAGCTATTTACCATATAGATAGGAAATGATTCATAAAATAACTGAGATCAGAAAATGGTAGAGAAAGAAACATCGATTCAAACTTTAGGTGCTGATCTAAAGAAAACAATGAAAGATTTCAAATATTCTTTTTTAAAAAATTTTCTTACATTTCTCAATTATTAGGATGTTACTAATTTGTTGGTGTAGCTCTATTTGTTTAGTTCATGGGGTAATATGAAACTTGTGTGAAGGCTTTTGCCTGTAAATAACTGGCATTACAGTACATTAAATTACATTTTTACAATTTTTTCTCAGACCTCAGTTCTCTTCCCATATTAAGTTGTCAAAGTCCATGATGGCCATACAAACTTAAAAACAATTAAACAAATGATCATAATTGTCATCAAGTCTTTGTGTGCTCATTTCTTTACCTTTAATCAATCCTTTGCATAAATAAAAAAAGAAACTGTATAAACATATTTTGGGGAGAAGCATGTACTTTAAATATGGAGGGAAAGTGTGAACTAGACTACAAGTAGTCCCTTCTTTTCAGCAATGTCTGTTGAGCCAGTAAAAGAAAAACAGGGGAAAAAAATTAATGTTAGCGTGCCATGGGAAGTTCTCAGAGTGACCTCGATGCACTGCAGGAGCTCCATGAGTGAGGCTACTTTTCAAATGCCTCACTCGTGTAGCTCGCATGATGGACTTTGCTAAAGTGAAGGACTGCTTGTAGTTGAAGTGTCTTGGTGTGTACATACAGAAGGACTGCGAGAGGGGTAGTGTTGGTAGGGATGAAAAAGCAAGAACAAAGTAATGAAAAGAAGACTGAAGAGAATATAGTCCACAATGCTTTTCTTAGAGCCTTTCATTGCTCTTTCACAACTAGTGCTTTATACATTGGGTCGGAATTCAGTGTTTGACCTGTTGCTTTACAGGAAAAATAACATTCTACATTAGACTAAATTTCTTACCAATAGTAGTAACTTGTGCCTCATTTATCACACTATTATTAATAAAAAATATTTCAGAATTATATATTTCTTCAGTTATTTACAAAGTAATAGTATAGTAATGCTATACAGCTCTTCACTGTGTCAGAAATTAACAGATTTTTCAAAGTTAAGTTGTTACTTTGACCCATTTTATCCTGCTCATAGACATCAATTTTAACTGCTTCTTTGAGGAATATAAAATGTATTCTGCACCACTGAATGAGCTTCACAATCAGTACATGAATTTTGAATTGCAATTTAAACTTTTTGAACTAATTATAATTTAACTTTGCAAACTGATATTTTCAAATTTGGACACGGCTGAATGGGTAAGGATATTTTTGATGGAAGTATTCAAGACACACCTAGTCTTTAAATACAGTTTCTCACAATTGAATTGATATAGACTTCAAAATCTTCTACAATGAATTTCAAGATTTTCATATTTAAAACAATTTGTAGCTTAATTTGTACTTCATTCTCCTTGCACTGATGTAGTTTCAAAAAAAAAGTGGTGATGAGAATTAGGAATATAATTAATTGTAAAATAACATTTAAGTATATACATGTAACATCTCTCCTCACTTGCTGACGATATCAGTTGAGAGAGTTACCTTTCTGATCAAAGAGGTTAGGAGGTTAATGATTACAAGAATTAAAATTTTGCACTATAGGGCAAAACCTACATTAAAACAGGTTAGATTTGACCTTTTTATTCTTAAAAAATGTCAGTTGACACTCCTCATCACTGTCGGTATCCTTGTCTGTTCTTTCATCTCCTGTTTTTGAACCAACTTTTATCACTGGGCTGCAATGAGAACCATGAGATAAAGCAGTTAACCTTTTACACTCGAACATCATTTTGCATATTCTCCATACTCTACTGTAAACATTTCCTAAGGTGCTGATGAGGAGAATTTGTTTAACAATCAAGAGCTTTTTTAGCTGGTGATCATTTCTGTTTTTCTCATGACCTTAACATCAGATTCAGGGATGAAGTTGTGAGGAGAAATTAGATGTTAATCACTTAAGGGTCAAAGGGGTAAGCAAAGAGAATAAATCAACAATGAAACCAACAGTACATGTGTAATAATTATAAGATACCTTTCTGGAATAACACTGGGATCCTCTGATTCTTCATCTTTAAGGTCCTTTTGAGGCAAAACAAGCAAACCTATCATCACACATGTATCATGCTTTATCTTATTTCCGTTTTCATTCTGCAACAGGCTCAGGTTCAGTCATTAAAAATAGACCTGCTTTAAAAATTTATCAACCCCCTTAAAGCATAAGAAATTTTTTTCAAGTACAAACTTTTTTAACTCAAAATTTTTCAGGAAAAAAAAACCTAGAAATGGGAGGAAAAATTTTTTGGTAGTCCAAGTATCATGGGTTAAATTGTCGCATCAACCTTAACTAATATTATTTGTTTCAGGGGCGATTTTTGTGGTCAGCATTACATTTTATCAGGCAATAGTCAACTATAGGAAGCTTATTCTGATTTCTTTTGATTTTCCTATTTTCAGTGACCTTGTGATTTCGAGTTGATGCATGGCAAATTAATAAAAAAAAATGTTGAGCTCCAAAACATGGAAGTTCTTTAATCAAAGTTTCCCCATAGTGTCTTCTTATATTTCTCTCTCTCCCTCTCTCTGGAACAATTTTGTCAAAACAATAATTTAAGTATTACACAATTGCATTGATCAATCAAAATGACAACTTACCCAATCATCATCCTCTAAGCCTAGTGATGGCGTACCTGGCTCATCCTCCTCCAAGGACACCAGACTTGGAGAAGATGGTGGCTCTGGGATGACTGATGAAGTCCTGCTGTTGTCATCTTTTGATAAACCTGAAGCAGCAGTGCTTTTCCTAAAGAAAGGTGGATATGTTTGATCACTTGATTGTGATATCTTTCTGCTTTCCATGATTTCCTGCTCATAAGTGTCACTTTTTTCTTGGTCTATCTTGTCCACGTCTTCATCAGTGGGGTCAGTCTTTAACACCTCCAAACTTTCACTTTCTGTGAAAAAAAAAGTTAAAATATCAGTACTTAGCTCAGCCTAAAAACCCAAAATTTCAGCACCAGCAGCAAATTTACACTAACACTACTAAATGCAGCTCTTCCACTAACCTGGAGTCTTTTTGGCAGATTTATTTCTTTGCCCTTTCTTTCTCTTTTGCATATCAGCTATCAGCTTTTCAAACTCATTTTTATGTTGATTCACTGACAAAAAAGTAAAGATGTTCAGATAACAATGATCATGATACAATTTTTTCAGTAATTACTTGCATGGAAAAAGAGTGAGAAATTGACACTGAAAAAACAACTAAACATTATGGTTGAAACAAGACAACAGGTCACAATATTAAATGTGAGAACCCTGTGCTACATCAACAGTGATGACACAGCTTCCCAACCAAGATAAAACTCTGTCTCAATAAACCCAATACATATTGGCTGACTGATTTACACTGGAACCACTAACTTCAAACAGTCAAGTAAAACTTAATTCAAGTGAGGGCTGACAACTTACAGTATTCCTGACGAATTTGGTCCATCTCTTCCTGGCTTTGATCTTTTGTAAAATGAACACCATGCTTTGGAACCAAATGTAGAAAAGGAAGTTAGAACAACTACATTATAATTCACTGATGAAAAAATAAAAGAAAAAGGATTTATAGAATTTATGTATAACATTTGCAATTTCACATCACTGACTCAAAAACACATATACACTGAACATTTAGGTCCACGCTTATAAAAATGCATGTAATACTAAGGAAAACTATATTAAGCTGTTCCTTCCCAGAGAACTGCAAAAACTCTTAAAGAATTACATGGAAACACTAATCATACCATTACTAAAGTATTTATAGCTTTTTTGTTCTCAAACTGATCTTTTTTTTTCATTTTCCATGGCCTTCCATAACCCACACAAGAAATTCCCAGCTTTCTTAACCCATACAAACTGTGGAATTTTTTCATCACTTAAAAACCAGTCACTAAACAAAAGCAAATAATTCATTTGCATTAAATTATTTTCAAACAATTCATTTACATACAGATGTAGGAGCTTCAGCTACAGATGCTGCCTCTCTCTCCTTTGTTAGCTCAGCTTTTTCCACTTCCCTTACAATTTGTGCAGCTGTGTGGGAAATTGTTATTACCTTATCAGTATTGAGGACTTATGAAGTTACTCCTCGTTGAAATCCATAATATGTCTTTGGATAATAAAGGAAAGTGTTAATTATTTGTAATAATTCTTGCACATAAACTTTTCATAGCGGACTGTCGGATGAAGAATAATTTGAATAATTTATGTACCTGTATGATGAAGGGTAATTTATTGGTTACCTGTCATGGGCTTTTCTGAATCACACTGTGAATTGTAAAGCATTACAAATTCTTGATGTCTTTTGATAAGTGTCTGAAAAAGTAATAAAAAAAGTACAAAAAAATCAATCAAGTTCATAGAGGACTCTTAAAAAAAATTAACTAGGTGTCCATGTAATGAGCAGCTTATGCTACCATGAACAAGACAAAAACTTTTGAAATGTTATGAGATCCTGAGGACAATGTTTGTTGCCAAACTTGTCTGATACAACTGGAATGCTGTGTTTTTAGGGTCATACTTCAGATATAACAACACACAAGATCAATATTAATTAAACATAACTGTCATAATTTTCTTCACATTTATTTAGTGTGAATAGAAGCACATGCAATGAAAGACTCATTGAGTTGTTAACCCTTTAGCTCCAAAGATCTAATTATTAATTCTCCCCTCTTTATTTAACTGCTATGCATTTCTTTGTAAATTCAAGGTTAGGTTAAGATAACTTCTACCTGATAAGTCTGAGTATTCTCATTACCTGTTTGCTGGATAATGTCTGGGTATTATAGGGAGAAGTTGCATGTTAATCACTTCTGGGAGTTAAAAGGCAAAAAGGTTAAATAATTTCTTTGATCTTGATCAATCAGTGAACTCTCTCAGTGATCAGCTGGTCAATGCTGAAATTCATATTATTGTGTTACCAACATGTAGCACCCTATTACTTACTGTTCGATTTCCCTTTGTTGATAAATTCCATTCTTTTAATCTTTTTAGTAATTCCTTGTCTGACATGACATTGTATACAAGTTTTGGAAGAGGCTTTCTTCTCTGAATCATTCGGCTAAAGAGAAATCAGAGATCAAAAAAAAAAAAAATCATAAAAATTAAAAACAAAATACTACCAACAAATTAATTGCTTTTAGTGCCAAAAAAATTGAGTGTCAACCAGTTATATGTGTGTAACAGTATTTGCCCTCAAAGAGAGAACACATTTTCCTGGATAAAGAATGAAGGGGGGGGAGGAGGGGAGGGTTGGGATTGGGAGGGGGGTAGTGTCAGTGGGATTGCAAACCTAAGCTGACTGACAACATGTTGGCAAAGAGACAGCAAAACAGTCAACAAAGAATAAGCCTCCAGTTATTCTTTGTGGATCATTTTGCCATTTTGTTTTGTTTTATATTTGAACCATTGACTTACATCAAAGCATTAGAGCCTTTAATTGTCATGTTGGATGATACTGCTGCGAAAGAAACTTCTTGCTCTGTTGTAGATGATCCTGGTTCACTACTTGAACAAGCAGGTGAATCTTGCAGCCCTACATCAACTAGACTCTTGCGCTTGCTTGATTTACTAGTTGAGGGTTCACTTGATTTTTTCCTGCTTTTTAGTGGAAAATGGTATCACCAATGTAGATTAGTTATTAAAATACTTACAGGTCTATTGATGTCACTGACACTATTCATGAGTATAAGTTAAGTTTCAGTTTTTAAGTTTCTAAACTAATTCCTTATAATTATGAACATACATAGAAATAGATTTTTTAACATACATTCGTAAAGAACTTTTCTTTTCTGTTCTGTTAAGGCAAGCATCAAGATGAGAATTAATTTTCCTGTGCAGGATCATGTCACCACAAACTGGACACTCAGCTGATAAACAAAAGAAAATTATATCTTCATGAGCATGATTGAAGTATTTACCAAAAACATAAAGTACATGTAAAACTTTCAGCCTGAAAATAAAATTTGATCATGTTGTCTGATCATCCAGATGAGAGCAGTCCTAAGAATAACCAACCACAGTCATTATCAGGACAACTCTTAACAACACCAACAGACAACACAACCAATTTTAACAAAAAACATAGAAAGACTTAAAGTACTTGAGATTCTTGGTACTGTTAAGCTACTGAAACAAGGATTAGCTACCGTAAAATAGGCCTTCCTGCTAATAACCTCTTCCTCCTACTGACCTAACTCTGGATCTTGTGGCTGTGATGGTTGTCTTTCATCAGATCTATGTTCACTGATGCTAACTGGCTGTGGCTCCGATGGCTGTGATTCTGATGGCTGTGGTTCTGATGATTGTGGTTCTGATGGCTGTGGTTCTTGCACTTGTTTTTCCATTTCAATGACTGCAACCTCTGGGGTTGATTGTCTGCTTGAGTTTTCCTCCTTATCATTTTCAGCTACTTCAACCAGAATCAAGTCTTGTTCATTCTCTGCATCAAGTTTCTGTCTCTTTGTGTCTGGACTTGTAGAGGTTGTATTGTTTTGAGAACTTGACTGAGCATTTAAGATAAAACACTTTAAATTAGACAAAGAATATAAACTACTACTGACATGCATTTTAAACTACCTTATGCAAACTACTCAAAAAAGACCAAAGTTCTTAATATTTAATCTTTCAAGGAAATAATTGAAGAAGGAAATTCTGCAGGGGCTCAATTTCTTGTCAGGGACTCATCTTTGTTTCTTGATAGTCACATGAAGCACTTGTTAACTAAGAATCTGTTCATCAAAAAATTTGACAACAAAGAATACCTTTCTCCTTTTTGTTTTTTTTTTAGAGGTGTTGATGCTTTTTTCATTTTTTGCTTCACCACCCTTTTTGTCTCCAGACTGTAAACTTGTGACCTGCACTGTATTTGTTGTTAGCTCTAGGAGTTTTGTTCTGCAACAAATATGGAATAAATAATAATAAGGTTACAACTAAGATGATCATTTCTAGCAATATAATGAAATGATCATAAGGGTACTTAGGGCAACCGTAGTTTTGCAAATTTACTGTACTCTTTTTGTCCATGCATGTATATAGTCTGTATGCCATCTCTTTGAGATTTCTTGCTTACTGTAAACAAAATACCCTACATACAGTCAGTCACCAACAAAGACAGACAAATAGTCAGACTGACTGACTGACTGACAGACCAAGTGACTGACATACAGACTGAATGACTGGCAAACCGACTGAATTACTGACAAACAGACAGACAGACAAAAAGATAAATTAACATACAGACTGAATGACTGACAGACCAAACAACAGACACACTAATTGACAGATAAACAGACTGAAAGACTGACAGACAGAAAAAGACACAGACTTACAGACAAATTGACTAACTGAATAACTGACAGACTGTGTAGCTCACTAATATTGACTTATTTACTGAATGACTAACAGACAGAGACTAAGTGATTGACAGACAGATCATAAGACTAACAAACTGCCTGACCTACTAATTGACTGACTTGCTTGTTGAGTGATTGCCAAAGAGGTAGACTGAATGACTGTCTCAGACTGACTGACTGACAGACCAATACACTGCCTTATTGACTCACTAAATGATTGACTGACCGGTTAACTGACTGACAGACTCAGTGATTGACTGAATGAACCACTAACCTTAGAGAGGTTAGGTTACATACCTGACTTTAATGAAATTTTTGACTAATTCATCCAATACCCTATTATTTTTCAAACTAAGAGGAGTGACTTTCTGGAAGAAAAGATGTCATGTATTGAGAACATTGTAAAAGTACTTGTGCCAATATTAGTAATATTACTACATAGGACCACTAAACAATGTGAAAGTACTGTAATCAGGTAACATAATTCGGTAAAATTTCCGCACAGCCCCACACTACATTATGCATTCAGTTCTTGACTAGAGAAAATAATGACAAAAACAATACATTTCCATTGGGAAAACAGATTTGTTTTACAATAGTATGGGGCTGTGCAGAAACTTTTCCCATGATTCTAGCAACTTAATAGATGAATAAAGACCGCATATAGAAAGCAATTGAAGAGTGAGTGTCTCCACTAAATAAATACACAACAAAAGAGAAAATGTTTCAAGATGTAAATTGAACCAGTCATGCATCTGTCCATAATAACAATTAATATCCATGTATAAGAAGTGCATACTCTGTATTCACTGGGAATGATATGGTTAAGATATGAAATATCCTTAATAATCACCATAATGATATATTACTCTAAAAGCTTTACAGAAAAATTGCAGAGACATCAAACCAGTACTTAAACTTATATACTGTCATCTCAATTATAGATGGTTACATGTTGATCTAATTTTGTCAAACATGTTAACAAGATGTCATACATGTACATCGTCTATAGCTATACTTCATATACTATTATCAGCGCAAAACTGACAGAAATGTGTCATGTAAAAGCATAACAATACTCACCAAGGAACAAGTGGGGCACTTTGTGTCATAACTGAGGGATCTCCTGATGCAAAGTGAGCAATCTGAAAAGAGAATGAAGCGGGATATTTCTCCTTATAACTATGGTATGAATGCTACAGATGTTTAAGTTGCCACTTCCTATCCTTCAGCTTAAAATTGTCACCCACACAAGGAAAGGCCGAGTCCCCCTCTCAACGTTTCTCTCGAATGTACATGTATACAACTTTCACAGATTTAATTAATTTTTCATTACTTCGAGGTAAGTAAAATTCAACCTACAGTTGTGGGAGCATTCTGGAGTTATCAATGCGACGTCAAAAAATTCGTAGCAAATAGAACATCGCAGCAGATTGTCGATCGTCTGAAAAATAAGATTTTGAAAAAATCACACAAATGGAACAAAGTAGCTTTTTTTCGATGTTGAGACAGATATTTGTAATAAGATACCCTCATTTCTCGTAGAGATTCTGGCCAGTCTGACGGACTCCACTCTGCTAGCTTAGCTGAGGATGTTCTCTTTTCCGTAAAAGACAACATATCGGCGAGATCACCTTGAAAATACACAGAAAATCTTTTAGAGAAATTCACTTACTAAGAGCCGCCATATTGATACAAGAATTTGGCGCGCGATTATTGTGTATTTTCATTGGCTGAAGCAAGACTACCCACCATGCATTGTTAACTTCTTGTTTTCTATAAGAAGCTGTCACTGGTGAAAAATATTGACCAATTGAATACTGCGATATAATATTGTTGCAATTATTGCGTCACAACCAGGTTAAAAACGTGCACGATCCAAGATGGAGGAATATGCAAGAGAGCCTTGGTAATTTTATGCTTCCTTGCCCCTCTGATTTCCAGGATTTCTTCACAAAGGTTATTTTTAGAGGAATAATGACTGAATTATGTCCTTGAATTCTTTGTAGTCCTTACCGAATCGTGGATGACTGTGGAGGAGCGTTTATGATGGGTGCCATCGGTGGAGGAATCTTCTCGTTTGTGAAAGGATGGAGAAATTCGCCGGCTGTAAGTTTCGTTCCTTTACCTTTTTTTGTATGTAGATTTTTTCTGTCCGATGTTATTCCGAATAAAGTCGTAATTTGCATTGTATATAACTGAACCAGTTACTCAAAATAAACTTCTTTCAGTTCTAATGGATCGTGGTAGTCTGTACTGATTCTAGATCAGCTGATGACAAACTCGATTACAGCATTACAAAATATGATTTACCCTTACATCTATGACGATAAACTGTGAGACATATCCTAGGGAATTTATCCACTGTCATGAAATGATATACATACTTAAGTTATACTTGATTTGGTGGCTACGGTAGATAAAAAAATGAATATCGACCTTTTATGATATTTAATGGTCATGGCAATGCACACACGTGATAATGTCACCATGTGTACTCAAACAAACAAAGAGTATGATTGTAAAGAAAAATTCATGCTAGTCCTGCATACTAAATCCAGTTCCAAATGACTTTTTAATACTTGAGAAAATTCTTCTGTTGACGAGTATGATACATTTTTGAGGAGATTGGTTATGCGAATAAAGAAATTTAAAATTATCACTATGGGATGGTACCCAGACAAACTCTCTGTCCTTTCCAACAAAAAAATATTGGGTCATCTCAAGTATACTGCTTCTCTAAGGATTATATGACTGTTTAAGTGCTCATGATTGGTCAAATAACTCTGGTATTTCTTGTAGGGGCAAAGACTTTATGGCAGTATTGGTGCTGTCAAAACAAGAGCACCTGTTCTTGGAGGTTAGTGCTTCAGTTTACATGCATTATAGTTACCAGTAACTCAGTTTTGTATGGCTATTAAACAATATATCATTTCAGGTAATTTTGCTGTATGGGGAGGTTTATTTTCTACATTTGACTGTTGTCTGATGGGAATACGAGGCAAAGAGGATCCATGGAACTCAATAGGTAGTGGTGCTATCACAGGAGCTGTATTAGCAGCAAGAGGTGAGTTATCAAGTTATCAACCACATTCCTCTCTAAAAGAGCCCAGAATATAAAGGAAATTTTACTCAGTTTGCAGCCTGACATTTTTGGGATATAATATATCAGCAGAAAAAAAAACCACAACATTTAATGGTTATAGTTATTAGCAATTATTCAACAATTAGCACGCATTGGATATGAGATGGTAATAGCATGCATCAAGTCCATTATAATGTATCTCTAATCCAACAAGTGCAAATGGAATAACTGTTTCATTGAATTTCATTAAATCCTTTACATTTGGATATTTATAGCTTTACAAAGCAAAATTATTCAGCTCCACAACACTTAGCATAAATTATGTATTTCCATATAAGGTAACTCAGAATATGAGCTGATAACTGGAGAAGAGCAAACCAATCAGAACACCAGAAATTTTATATTCAGAGTTGAAAATATAATTATAATGAAAAGTATAGAATGTAAATTTAGCTGGATACATGTAGTGATTCCTTAAAACTCATCATGCTTGACTTATCAAGCAAACTTGACTTATCTACTGTGTTTAGTAATTTTTATCAGTTGTCTATGAAAAGGGAGATGGTTGCTATTATTCAATGGTAATTGTTAATTTTGAGAACTAACCATAGAATAGAACTGTGTGACCCTGTTTGAGGTACATTACATAACCACCAGTGGTGATCAAAAATGGTGATCAAAAATGGTGATGCAAAATGTAACTAAGTTCTTCTGCGATCTTTAGGTGGACCATCAGCAGCCCTAAGATCAGCGGCATTAGGAGCTGTCCTGTTAGCTTTAATTGAAGGAATAGGAATTGGAATTACAAGGATGACAGCAGAGCAATTCAAACCAGGTTTGTTCTCAGAATTTTTTAATGCCAAAGCTCTTTATAAATGTTCAAACCAGGTTTGTTTCCAAAATTTAAGCCAAAGCTTTATAAAAGTTCTATCTGGTTCTATCTAATAAAGACTTTATCAGACTTTACATGTGGGATCAAGTTATAGCAAACTGGTAACTGCAGATCAGTCATGACTTTAGGTACTCATTATTTAACCTTTCTTCCTTGCATTTCAGTCATGCCACAGCCCCCAGACCCTGCACAGTTACCTCCCAAACCATTCAACCCTACACCACAACCAATACAGCCAGCATCAGAATTTGATTATCAGCCACAGTATCAATAGGAAAAGATATACAATACAATATGACAACTTTTCAAGTCAAATTTTTGAGGATTTTGTTACTGATGTTACAAGGCCAGCTATTCAGTCTGTGTTTAAGGAACAATGTTGAAAAAGGCAAGGGGTACTTGTTGTTCACCATCCTCTGGAAAGCTCAGGCTGAAGGGACAGACAGATGAAGAGGCAAGCCTCATTGTGGGAATTTAATTTTGGAAGTTGTGTTGTTTGCTGTTGTCATAAAAAAGGAACAACACACAAACATTTGCCAAACATAAAATTGCTTCACTTAAACTTGATAAAGTGGCAATAGAGGTGTGGTATCAAGTGGTATGACTTGTACATATACATGGATACATCATGAATTTGTGACTAAGGATGTTGATACTTGTACAAACAGGACATGTTTGGTTGCTTTGGGTGGCAACATATTGGAGCACATTTGCTTTCAAGTAGTTTTTTTTTTTATTCAATATCTGCAGTGAATGCGATTGTTGATAAGCTGACAAGCAATGGGCTGATAACACTGTCAGTAGTGTTATGTTTCAGACTGAATTTATTTAGAAAGTAGTGGAAATAATTTGCAAAAAATTAAAGTTAATATGTTTTCAAGTATACTGGTGTGGTAAGTGGTGTTGTAAAACCAAACATTGTTTTAATAGGCTGCAGCACAATGCTGTTTTTATTCAGTCTATTTCTTTGGAATCCAATACAAAATCCATTGGAGGAAAAGGTTTGATTAAGTTCATTACAAGAGAAAATATCAAAATGGGAAGAGTCAACCAATTTCAAGAGGGGGAAACTATGTTTAGGGATAGGAAAAAAAAAACAACTTGGGCTAAAAATGACCAAAGTATGGGTACAAATTCCCCAGATGCACAATAAAAGCTCCAACTATTAATTCCAAATATCTTATTTATTTTTATGTCAAACACTATAAGAAATGGTTAATTCTTTTTAGCAGTTCAAGTTTTTCTGATAGTGACTGTATAGACAAATGTTTTCTATCAGTTTGCTTTCAGCTATCTATTAACAAATTGTTTTTCTTAGAAATTGTATTTTCAAAGGATTAATTTACATGTCATCTTCTAGATCGTTTCAAATATTACTATACGATACTGTTGTATTTCACCATTTGTTCTAAAAACACCAAACATATTAAGTCAACTTTTCAAAAAACTTACAAAGATTCATTACTATATTTTTCAAAATACAGCAATCAAGAAGTCAATGGTTTTGGAGAGAGCTTTGCAACTAGTGAACACCTTTGGATGTACATTGATAACTTAACAAAAGTTTAATGTCACTGCAGCTGTAGAGCAAACTGGAGTATGAAATGTCCTATCCTCTCAATTTTAATTATTTTAACCCTTTATCTCCTAAGAGTGACTGGCATCTAATTTCTCTTACAATATCAGCCCTGAATCAAACATTAAGGTCATGAGAATAAAGGAAATGATCAACAACTAAAGAACTCTTGACTGTTAAACAAATTCTCCTTTTCAGACCCCTGAGAAATGTAAAGAGAACAGTATGGAGAATATGCATACTGATGTTAGGGTGTAAAGGGTTAATCAACCTGTCTATCTTGTTTTTATCAACACTTTTCCTGTTGATTTCCTTTCCATCACAAACTTGAATGCTTCATTTGCCTGAAACAAAGAATAAAACAGCATTTGAGTCATTCTGGTATAACAGAATACAAAGTAAGCTAGAGTCACAATATGTGAATTCCCTGTTGATGTTTTGTTGCAGTGATCTATAAATGTTTGAGCCAGCTGCTTAAAACCTAAAATCTAAAATCTTGCCAACCTAAGAAGCTTTGATTGTTTAAAAAATTCTTAATGTCAGTACCAAACAATAATGTATAAAGTAGAGTAGGGAGACGATGGATACTGATGTTAAAGTAATAGAGGTTGAGAAATTTGTATTATATAATAAGCTCAGTTATGCACGCATTCTGATTGGTTTGAACTTGTTCTGAACTTTTTTTTAATTCTTTATTATATAAAACAAATAGATTCCAAGTTGCCGTGTGTCTGTTCAGTAATAGATCACAGAGGACATCAAAATGTGGTAAGAACATCAGTGACACACTTGGCTGTGCCTTGTGTGCCACTTTTTTGTTCTTACACGTACCACATTTTGACATCATCTGTGATCTATTACTGAACAGACACATGGCAACTTGGAATCTATTTGTTAAATAGAAAATAACAATAGTCTATTCAAGTGTTATGTTATTTACCTGGTCTAATTCAAACTCTCCAGAAACATGTGGTCCTCTAAGCTTGCCTTGTTCAAGAAACTCCAGTGATTTATTTACAGAATCTCTCAGTAATGCAGGGTTATATTTCATGTGGGCTCCCTGGAAATTGGAGAGCACAGTACTGTTGCAATGTCATGCAAATGGTGATTCATAACCCAAAAGAAAGGAAAAATTAAAGCTCAAAATCAGACACTGACCGATGGACTGTACTTACCCAAAACAAACCAGCTGTGGAAAAAGGAACAAAAAAGAAAGAGTTTTTTCAGTCTTTAGGTCTTTTGACTTAAAGAGCCAGCTTCATCTTTAACGGAGTGAAGACAAGTCTGAAACTCAACTGTTTCATACTTAGGATCAATCATCACATTGCATATATGTTATTTACCAGAAGGGTGTAAGTATGGAATGGTTACAGGCATGCTATAAGCCAATTAGATTTAAGGATTTAAGATTTCAGCCTGCTGAGATGCTTCTGAAAGAAAATGAACCCTTATTTTAAACTTACCTGCTGAGCAGTTTTTCACCAAGAGAATATTTGCTGGGATCTGAAATATCACAAAAGAAAAAACAATTTGGAACCAGTCATAGCATTATTTCATACAATGTGTTGCATATTTCAAGAGCAGTGTTAAAAAAATTAGGAACACACCTGAGGAATTTCTCCTGAAGCGAACCCAACAGGAAGAATAACACCTCCCCATGCAATGCTTGAAAGGAAAAATAATTGGAAGTTATTCACATCATCATGTTAGCTACCATCATGTAATACAAAATTGTTATGTCATTTTGGGTTTTTTGGAAATCTGGCCATGAACATGACATGTCTAAAACTTTATTTCTGCCAACAATGACCCAAAAAGCCAAGATTCAAGCCACAAATATTTATACTTCTGCCGTGTCAATCTTACATAAGAAATTTATTATCACAAAAAAAAAAAACAATATTTACCATTTCAGACACTCTGTAAATACTTTTCCTCCAACAGCTTCCATGATAACATTTGCACCTTTTCCACCTGTCAGTTCTTTGATCTGCCACATTATAAAACTTATCAGAGATGAAGAGAGTGTCAAGATCTCATTAGTTATCCTTCTTTATGCCTGCCATACAACTCTTGTAACTTTGTTTGGAGAATTTGGTGTTGGATCAATAATAATCTCCTGATCGATTTTCTTATTCATTCTCATCATTTGTCTGATTGATATTGTATTGATATTGTAAGGAGAAATCCTGTCTTGGTCACTCATGGGAGTCAAAGGGTTAAAAGAAAAAATTACCTTATCTTTGATACTGTCTTTGTTGTAATCAATTGTAGCTGACGCTCCCATTGTTGTAACAACATCAAGCTTGTCCTTACTTGCAGCTCCAATAACCTTAAAAACAGAGCCAGGCTCTTGTGAGGATCTTATGACACACAATCTTTAGAAGTTTTATATTCCCCACAACCAGACTTGTAAGCTTATCACAATTCTAAGAGTAGGAAACAAACAGGATGCCATTCCATCAAGTTTACTCTCAAGGAAGCCATTGCTCAAAAGATGGTTATAAGCCAAGATCTTGAAAGTTAGGTTTAGTAATGTCCTCTCGAACTAACACATTGAAATCTTCACAAGAAAGAAAGAATCCATAGAGATCTCTTAACTCAAGTCTGGGGGGTTAATCAGTCTCATGTATAGGGGCTCCTCCAAGGGTGAACCCACTCAAGAACAAACCTTTGCTCCCAGTGCATTTGCTGCTAAATCAACTGTTGCCAATCCCAATGCTCCTGCTGCAGCAGTCACTAGCACTGTTTGACTGCAAATAAGACAAAACAGGCTTTGATTTAACCTTTTCAGTCTCACAAAACCAACATTAATTCTACTTACTGTCTAATCTGCCATCAGGCATTCTTCTCACAGAAGAGCATTGCAATGCAAGAGTCAACACTTCCCTGAAGAAAGAGAACACCTGATCATATGTTCTTTTCTGTCAGGAATGTGACATTAAAGCAAAGAAATATCTTCAAGTTGAAGCATCACCATGACATGAATTATTGTGCCTTTTTTTGTTTTCAAATTTTTACTTGTCTTCTGAACAAGACCTACTGATCAATTTATCAATTTCAATTGTAACCTCTTAAATTCTTGGTTAGAACAATATCAAGTCTACTTATGAACCACTTACAAAACACAACATGTAACTCTTAGAAGTTATTAGTGTGTAACTTCTAACAACAAAAATATTCCTATGATGCAAACATAAAATTATAATAGACATACATATCAGCCAGAGGGTGTTATATTGATCAAACACAAATTCTTTTATGAGGGCTTAACCCTATAACTCCCATGACCAAGACAGAATTTCTCCTTACAAGATCAATACAATATCAAGCAGACAAGCGACAAGAATGAAGAAAAACATCAGGTAGAGGATTATAAGTTGATCCAATACCAATTTCTCCATACTAACATCACAAGAACTGTATGGCAGACAGTTAGGAAAATTACTAATGAGATCTTGGGAGTTTAAGGGTTAAAAGAAAATGTTAGGGAGCTCAAAGGAAGAGTTACAAATCAAATCTTTAGTGTTTAGGGATTGTGATAAAAAAATTAATTATCAAAACAAGTCTTCATAGTGCAAATATTTACCCAGGTTTTGTGTTTGACTTGGATGTGAGTCCAACATATGCCGTACCATATGACACTGCAAGTGCTGCAGCTGAACTATACTCAACACTAGAAGGAATTTTCCACAGACCCTGGAATCAGCATACAGGCTTTTGAATTAGAATCTAGTGCTAATGTAAAAACACAAATTTCCTGAAATGCATTTATTTGGAAGATCTACAAATTAGACTCACGCTCTGTTCTGCAATGCATTCCTCAGCAAAACCACCAATTGGTATCAGACCAAACACTCTATCACCCTGAAAATCAAAATGTAAGTCAGTAAATAATCCATTACACCCAAAGAGTGACCAGCTTCTAGTTTCTCCTGAAAACAATACTGCTGAATCATTCATTTAAGATCATGAGAATAAAGGAAATGATCAAAAATCAAAGAAGCTCTTGATTGTTAAACAAATTTTCCTTGTCAGCACCTTAGGAAATGTATAAAAAACAATATGGAGAATGTGCATACTGATATTTCAGTGTAAAGGGTTAATGATTGAACCCTCTAACTGTCAAGTCATAGTAACCCTGAATAACTGTCGCATCCTATGCTTACTTAAAGACCAGGGGTGAAGAGGAGTAGTTGATAATCCAGAGCAGACTGAAAAACTAATGATTACATCAGATTCTCAATTTACTGAGGCTCAGTAAATTGAGAATCTGATGTAATCATTAGTTTTTCAGTCTGCTCTCCAGCCAAGACTGGCCCACAAGGCACTGATGGAAGCTTATCCCAGTTTCTCTTGCATGAAGAAACTTATAATAAGAGTTTTCCTCCTTCAATGGATAGGATATTACCCCATCCTGGGTTACAGTAAAGCATCTCATCAGGCTTTCCTGACAGTTTGTGGCTCTCCACTTACACTCTTGGGTGGAGAGGGGAACCATGAGTGTAACATGTCTCACCAAGAGGTAGAGACATACATGTCATGGCCTAATAATTAGCACACTCCACTCCAGAGCATAGGTCCCATTTCAAGACCTTAGTAAGATATGATGGCCCAGGGAAAAGGCTACTTGATTCCATGTTTCAGGTTAAATTCCTCACCAGGTTATGTTGTGTTCTTGGGCAACACACTTTGCTCTTGTACTTCTCACAGTGTACATGGTTACCAGAAAACTTTAAGGGCGAACTAACTAACTGCATAAGGGAAGGAATTCTCAACTTGTTTCAAGGCAATGAAATCTGTGAGAGCCTTGTGGAAATGGGTCATTTAGGGTCCTGACTTGATGAACACACAGTCACCTTTGATAACTGTTCTACTCCTTCTCCAGTTTCAATCACTTCACCAGCTATCTCAGCACCTGAACAAACAAGATACACAATTATGATCAAGAAACTAGAAAGAAATTTTATGTATCTCCAGCTCTCTAAGGCTTGCTCCAGCTATAACTCTTTAATCCCCTCAACCATAACAAGTAATTTTCCAATCATTAGTAGCAATATTAATAAGGGGTGGATACCAACTTTGGAATGGGGTAGATACCAATTTTGGAATGGGGTGGGCACAAATATTGTTATGGGATGGTTACCAGTATTAGAATGGGGTGGGTGCCAATATTGGAATGGAGTGGGTACCAATGTTGGGATGGGGTGGGTACCAATATCAGGATGGGGTGGAGAAAGAGACAAAACTAAGAAAGGCAATAAACAGAAACGTAGTTACAGAAGAATTAAGCTATCAAGAGCCAAATAATAAGCAAGTGTCTCAGACAATTTAGTTCAGGAACTTTGTTATGTACACAACACTGAGACTGAGATACATAGGGAAATAAAATATGAGGAGAGACAAAGATTTGATGTGATGCCTGTAAATTAAGCAATAGACTACACTTTCTATCGCTGAAAAGTTAAACTTTTAAAATCACGAGCTGGAAGCTGTCAATTTACAAACTTTTTGGGTGCCATCCCAATGTCTCAACTTATAACAGGAAGTGTGATCTACTGCTTTTATAAAATAACTATGGGTTTACTACTGCAGTTACCCTTTCACTCCTAATATCTGGATCATGAAAATTCTCTTTACTGTCTGTGATAAATTTTCTTTACATTTTGTTCTGAGAATGACAGTCTCCTAATTGATATGTTTTGCTGTTCTCAATACTTGACTGCTTGATATTGTATTAATGCTGTAAGGAGAAATTTTATCTTGGTCATTCCAGGAGTGAAAGGGAAAAACACTATGTTTTTAAGCAATAAGGGCATTCATAGTAAATCATTTATTCTACAATTATAAAACATACCTGGAATAAATGGTAGATTTGGTTTATCTTGATATTTTCCCAGACACATAAGTATGTCAGCAAAGTTGATACCACAGCTGTGGACAGCAATCCTCACCTTAAATAAAATAATTAACCACTGTTTATCGGAACTGATGACATCTTCATAAACATTATTATTGTTTCAGTACTTATATATCATTTTCTTTTACTGTGGGGAGGGGTGGAGGGGAGGGAGAGTGGTTATCCCTTTAGTAAAGAGAGATCTTAGTAAAATTAAGATTCTCCCTTCTTGCTATAATACATTATAATACAAGCAAAGAAATTATTCTGTCGTGTTGATAGGAATTTATTCAATATTGCATAAAAGAAGCCTTCATACCTTCTCCTCACACCCAAATTATGCTCTTCAACTTGCCTGAAAAGGGAAAAGGATGTCTGCTGCCCTGCAAGCTAACTTTAGGGATAGCTGATGTTCCACCCTACCCTCCCTCCCTCAGCAAAAGAGACTTCTTTCAAAACTTCCTCAAATTCTTTTTCAAAAATCAACGTCACTAACGCATTAACTCCCTCATGAAAAAAGTTTCGGCCCCATTTTTCATCTTCCCTTCCCCTTTTAGGGGGAGGAATATAAAATGGAATAGCACATATCTTAGCAAGACGATCTAAACGTTAGGCTAGGTCTAACTATGATGACTGGAATAGCGCATATCTCAGCAAGACGATCTAAACGTTAGGCTAGGTCTAACTTTGATGACTGAGAATGCTTTCTCTAAGTCTGGTGCCACGTTTAAATGAAGTGGCCTTTGTTTTTTGGGGTGTCTGCAGAAAAATTCGAAAAACAAAACACAACATTTAAATTCCGCGACTTCGAGAATACGGCGAATCATGAGGTTACCTGAGAGGCCTTGAGTTTCTCCGCTGCAGGGACCTGCTCTACGACAAGAGGTTTACCAAGTTCCTTGCACAAAGCGGCACGATACATTCTTGGTTTACCGAAGGTAGGTTTCACAGAAATAATCTCGGCATTTCTTGCCGATATGCTGCGCGCCACTGGTCTCAAAAGTCTCTCTGGAACAGTCCGAAAGGCCGCCATCTTGAATCTAGGTAACAGTCTCTCACAGAAAAACTGGCCGCCTTCCATTTGGGTAAGCTAGGACTAGGACACTCGTCGGTAATTCTGAGTTGTTTGTTATTCAATACTTCTTATTTACGAAAAACAGCTCATTTAGAATTGTTTTCGGAAGAATTTAATAACTGGCTGTCGTATGCTTGGTTTATTGCCGCAGGTTGACAATTTCACTTGCGTTACGTATTAAATTCAATTTGATAATAAAATCTTTAAAATTACCGCGTTTTGAGACTCCATAGAACAAACCCAAGAGAAACAGGAATTTTCTAAAATTCAAAACTAAAATCAGAAATTTTTTTGTAACACAATCAAAATCTTCCAAACCCCCCCCTCCTCCCCAGGAGATGAATAGTGACTTCGCGCACTCTACGCCTCGCCCACGAACCTCAGTTCCTTTCTCCGTCTTTTTTTCCAATGTAGGCCACGTTGCCTGGGGTTAGCTTTTTAAGTTGCTTTTGGAGAGAAAATCCGACGTTCTCGTGTTGGGTATATTTGCCCTGACACAAACACTGCAACTTGTAAAAAAGCCAACTTTTATTGTCTCGGTTTCTTTCACGACGCAAGCAATTCTTGTCAAAGTCTCCTTTCTTGCGTCTCCCTTACTCTGAACACATCGTATTTTGAACGTTGTATGAATTATATATACACGGTTTATGATACTGAAATGAAGTATGAATTGATCGACGGTATCTTCGACGGCGAAAATTGTTTCCTCTATAGACATATTATTATCAAATAAGGATAATGGTGTCTTGATTGTCTGCTCAAATATATTATCGTAAATATTACAATATTTGCACGTTTTAAAAGTAAATATAGGCATCCAGACTGTCATTCTGTGAAATCACACATAATCTTTAAAAAGAACAATTCAAAGCCTTTCAAAGTTCTCAGGCAAATTTCAGTGGAAGTCTCTTTTATGCTGGAAGCAAATCGTCCATAGATTTTCCATCCATGAGTCGCTTTTCCATCTCAACGAGAAGCTTGACGCCATCGACGACTTTCTGAACAAGTTCCACCTCAGAGAACCCCAGACGGTCCAAGTTTGACACGTCAAATGTGCCGTTAGTAGAGGCGGTGTCCACTCCTCCAGTGCCACGCTTCTGAAGTCGCAGCTTATTCAAGATATCTCCAAAGCGTGCGTCTTTCGCTAACCATGGAAGCTTGACATGCACGCCAGCGCGCAGGCCGGTACCGAGATTGGAAGGACACGTGAGCACAAAGCCGAGATGTTCATTCCACATAAACTCTTTGCCTTTATTTTTCATAGCATCCTCGATCTCTTTAAGACTTTTACAAAAGCGAGTGAAGACTTCTCGCATGTTCCCGCCTTTTTGCATAGATATGACGCGAGTGTGATCTTCCTCGTTTACCCACACTAACACGGTCTTCTCATCATTATGCCAGATCCCGCGGGCATCGGGCCAATCGCGAGCCATCCTAGAAGACAGCAGCAAAGGTGAAACTGGCTTATCAAATAGGAAATGATCCTCTATCAACTGATCTTGCTCCTCTGGGGTCATTTTGTTCAGGGGGTAATACTTTCCTTGTAAATCTCCTTTCAGCGAGTCCAACGCTTCCACTACGATCCTCTCAATCTCCCGTCGTTCTGCGCGGGTGCAGTGAGGTGGCAGTGTCAGACCCCGGATACTGCGCCCAGTCCTCACCCGGCAGGAGAGCACAAATTCCTCGTCCAGATCCTCTCCTCCAGTAAGATTGTCAGGATTCAGATCTGTCTTATGAAGGGCATCTTTGCTGTATCCATTATGGCGCCCCTCTATCACTGGGTCAAACAAATCTGCGAATACATCGTAAGTTTCTTCGTCGCCAGCCACACAGCCCACGGTCATGATGTACGGATGACCAGGGTTGTCCACACCTGTTTGTATGGCTTGGTCTAGGGTATAACCAGAGGGTGTTTTGAGAACGCAGAGCTGGTCGTAAATTTCTTTTGTTAGACACCTGGACATCCAGTTGTTATGCGTTGAGAGATCAGGGAAGTTACTTATCTTCTCCCTTTCATTTCCTTCACCCTCAACTTGGTCAGCAATGTCTCTGGCGCGTTTACCAGACATAAGCTCTTGATACAGGCTGGTTATAGGATTTCCAGCCTCGAGGCATTTCTCCATCTCAATTAACAGACGGACTCCATCCACAACACACTGCACCTGTTCCACTTCAGAAGATCCCAATCGGTCTGCGTTGGAAATGTCGTAAGTTCCTCCGACTGCTGCCGTGTCTACCCCGCCGACGCCACGCTTCTGAAGGCGAAGTTTCTCCAAGATGCTGACGAACTCTTGCTTTTGACTAAGAAGTGGGATTTTTAAGTGTACCCCTCCCCTCAGTCCTGTGCCAAGATTAGATGGGCATGTTAAAATGTAGCCCAGATGCTCGTTCCACATAAAACCGTACCCCTTAGCCTTAATAGCGTCTTCAACTTTGTTCAGTCCAGTGCAGAAGCGCTCGAAAACACCCTTCATATTTCCGCTTTTCTCCATCGAAATGACTCTAGTGTGGTCTTCCTCGTTGACCCAGATAAGAAAGTTCTTTTTCTCATTGTGCCAGATCCCGCGGGCGTCTGGCCAATCCCGCGCCATTCGGGATGCAAGCAGAAGAGGAGACACAGGCTTGTCAAACAAGAAGTGGTCCGCTATGAGCTGCTCTTGTTCCTCATCTGTCATCTTTGCCAGTGGGTAATACTTCCCTTTGAATTCGCCATCGAGCGAATCCAAAGCTTCGGTAACGAGAGATTCCACTTTGCGTCGCTCAGCTCTTGTACAATGGGGCGGCAGACCTAAATTTTTAATGCTGCGCCCAGTCCTTACGCGACACGATAAGACGTACTTCTCATCAAGTTGTCCGCCAATCAGATTAGCAGGATTCAAGTCGGTTTTGTGGCGATCTGTTTTCTTGTAGCCGCCGTGTCGCTTCTCGATCACAGGGTCAAAAAGATCCGCAAAGACTTCATACGACTCCTCATCTCCGGCGACGCAACCGACCGTCATAATGAAGGGATGGCCAGGGTTATCAACACCCGTCTGAATCGCCACGTCCAAAGTAAATCCACTCGGGGTTTTCTTGCCACACAGTCGCTCATAAATTTCAGGTGTAAGGCATTTTGCCATCCAGTTGTTATGTCGTGACAAGTCAGGGAAGTTGCTCAGTGGAGGGGCACTAAAAATTCATTGAAAGTAAGATCAGTCAAAGGTGGGGATATAACTTAGTGACAAGTCCTTACGAGATGATGCCGGGACAGCTCGATCGAAGCCATAATTCATTTCGGATGACATAAAAAATAATGGTAACAAACTGTGTCGCTGTGATTAAATTTAGTACGACGAACAAAAAGTACAGACTCGAACTGCTTTCAGTTTGCAAACACAAGTTATTACAGCTAGGGAATGAATCGCAGTAACTTTTTTTGGAAGCAATACCAACAAAGTGTCGTCGCGGAGAACTCCAATCTTTTACTTTATGGGGAGGTACCCCACAGGACAATCGTTACCTGCTGTTGTTGGTAGCCTCAGCCTCAGAAACTGGTCCTTCATCAGGAGAGGAATCTAAAAAAGGAAAACACGAAGTCAAGTGAGTCTAATTAGTTACAGCGCTTTTCGATTGGGTGTCGTAAAACCAACACCCAAGTAATCACAACAGCCAATCAGAAGACAGGAAAATGTCTTCAAGAGCCAATCAGAATTCAAAGTAAAAAAAAGTTGACTGGCCAGAGCGCAGGAAAACACGGGCGACTAAGTAGTGATTAGTTTTCGTTTTGCATCTGATTGGTTGAGAGAGTAGTGCGAGTTTCTAGACCAATCACAGAGCGAAGTTAAGTAAAACTAATGCAGTCTCGGATTACTTTCAGTACTCAATTGAAAATTTCTCTTTAATTCTAAACCCTTCTTCAGTTTCAACGTTTGTTTGTCTTTCTTCAACGCCTCCCTCCACTAAAAGCTCCGTGTCCAACATACCATCGACAGGAGTAGCTTTTGGTAAACTCCAAACCCACTAAATTGTCTTCCTCGATAAGAATGGAAAAGGACACATCATGGAACCTTTCTCCTGTTTAGATCTTTGCGAACCAGAACTCCGTCATTAGAGTGTTGAAATCAGTTTGGCATAAATCATGCAAACAGTTTATCGCTTAAGCCCTGCTTATTGAATTGTCCTTCAAGTTTCTGATGCATGATGAAAATGAAATTCATCTTACTGCAGTTCTCTGCTGATTTTGTTGTGTCCTTTCGCAAGGCATGTAAGTAAAATTCGCCACCCGTGAATCAGTAATAAACTCACCTTTCAAATTCGGAGAAGCAGAGTTGTGGAGTTTGGAGCCTCCACAACCCATCTCGATCAATTCCTCACCTGTCTGCTATAGTTGCTAAAGGTACAACCGCCAGGGTCTCTGAAACTTACTGAATACAATAAGCGCGCGCTTAGTTGGTTGTTACCAAGTAATCGACTGCGTCACAATTAATCAGCGCTAATTCTAATTAGCGCATCGTCTAGATGATGTAATCGAGGAGAATTTCACTTAAATATTTATGAGAGACTAAGCAATTCTAATCATTAAATGTAGGTTTCTAAAATTTGCAGTTGAATTACATAACGGCTAAACTGACCCATTCTTAACTGACTCTGATAATGACTTTCGCTCAGGTTGTCGAAACGTCAGGCGCCACTATCGACAACAGTACTTCTTAGGACTACAATCACCCGGATGATCAGACTACACGATCACATCTTATATCCGGGTTCTTACAATGTACTGCATTAAGTGTTTCGTCCAACCTCCCCCCTACTTAAAGTTAGAGTAATGACTGCAAAAAATATATTTATTTATTAGACGCGAGCCGACATGCTAATTTGCAGCGGTTTCAAGTTGCATAATCTGATCACGTTCAAAACGTATTTGAGTTGTGAGTATAACAATAGTGGTTTGGTAGAAGAGGTTGTGGTTATTCATCGTGGTGAA